ACGGTATAGCTCATGGCTTCACTGAGTTACGCAAGCCCCTTCGCCACGACAAGGCAGTGATCCATGAAGGGGAATTGATATGAGTACTTCCCATATGCTTATCCTGACTCTGATTCAAACCTCCCCTCCTGTTGTCTAGACCAAGCCTTCCTCAAGCTGGTTTCCTCCATGTATGTTAGACTATAATTTTCCAGTATCCTCAGTTACTGGCCATGCCAGTTTGCCCTTTAAAAACACATCCCCTAGAGGTCTGAGAATGTAGCTTTCTTGGTTTTATTGCAAAGTAAAAACCACTGGGCTAAAAGCAGGGAGCTGTGTTAATTTCATGGACAGCTGGCCTGACCTGTGACAGGTAAGCTTCAGGATCCTTTCTGCTTGAAACAGTGTTTCTTATTGTTGAGATGACAATTGGCCTAATTCTTTTTGATAATCCCAGGGAGTGCTGAATTATGAGCAGGGCGCACTGTCTCTCTCTCTCTCTCTCTCTTCTTCTTCTGCTGTTTCGTGGCAAAAGATTGATGACAGAACTAGCAAACTGGGTAATTCTCTGAAGACTCAATTTTCCTTCTGCTTCAGCAGACAAATAGACTAGAGAAAAAAGGGATTATTAATTTTTTGTGGTCTGGCATATGATAAAAAATGGAGCAAACATACTCAGTGACGAATTCATGTTCTGAATCCTTCTTTCTCTGAAACAGGATATTACCATAATGTTCCAGAAAGGTCACAGAGTTCCAATAGAAGAGAATATACTGTATGTAGCTCAGGGTTGAACTGTGGAGTGGTTGAACTCTGAGCTTGGTTGTTTGCTTGAAGATGTTTCATTACACTGATGATGTTACCTAGTTGGGTAAAGGAACGTCGGCAAGCAAACAACCAAGCTCAGAGAGCACCAAGGACTCCACAGGCCACAGAGTACTTGCCTTATAATTTCAACGGAAGTTTTCACCATTGGAACTGTTATCCCTAAACTAGACTTAATGCTGTATATTGTGACATAATGGAGTGATATGAACAACACATTCTTTATTCTGCCTATAGCCTACAGTTCCTATAGAAATCTTTTGCTCCCTGTTACAAATGATCCATCTTTGGATTTTCATGTACATGGAAAATTTCCTGGGTAAAAAAACTGCATGTACTGTACTGCATGATGTTCTTAAGGAATGAATTGGATCAGACTCCTTTTGGATTATAACAGGATAATGGGTTGGATGTCACAATCGTGATAAGTATTACTACTCTCACAGCATTTCTTAGTAGGTACAAGGGGGCGGGGGGAATCTCTTGCTAAGCATCTCACCTGATTTGCCCATAAATGTTTCTGAGTGGTATTTTATTTTATTTTATTTTATTTTATTTTATTTTATATATAATTATATATATATATCCAGCCATCTCACACAAAGCGACTCTGGTATGTTTGGCACTCACGGTGTTTCTCTCCCTTATCTAAAGGCATCGATCAGGGTCAGATGACATATGATGGCCAACACTGGCATGCTACAGAGACCTGCTTTTGCTGTGCCCAATGTAAGAAATCTCTGCTTGGCCGACCATTCTTGCCGAAGCAAGGGCAGATTTTTTGCTCCAGAGCGTGCAGCATGGGAGATGATCCAAATGGTTCAGATTCATCAGACTCTGCATTCCAAAGTGCCAGAGCCAAGGAATCACGGCGCAGTGCTAAGATTGGAAAGAACAGGAACAAAGGAGAAGAGAATGCTGGCAGCCAGAGTAATCAATTGCAGGTGACCTCCAGTAGGTTGTCTGCAGATGTGGACCCTCTCTCCTTGCAGATGGACCTGCTGAGTTTGTCCAGCCAAACTCCTAGTTTAAACAGGGACCATGTATGGAGAAGCAGAGATGAACTCTACCACTATGGGAACAAAATGGAGCAAAGTCCATCACAAAGCCCTTTGCAGCTGCTCAGTCAATGCAATGTCAGGACTTCCTACAACCCAGCACAGAGTCCAGGTCCTCAGCAAGAACTATGGGGTAAACATTTCAGCAACCCAAAGAGAAGCTCCTCTCTAGCCATGAAAGGACATGGTAGCAGTTTCATCCAGGAATGCCGAGAAGATTATTACTCAGGAAGGCTACGATCGCAGGAGAGTTACAGTGACATGTCCAACCAGAGTTTTAGTGAAACCAGAGGGAGTTACAAGGTCTCCAAGTATGACCAAGAAGAAGACAGCAGCATGGCAGAACAGCATTGCCGGACCAGGCATCCACTCAGTGGATTGAAATTCACTGAAGAATTGACACGCACAGAACAAACTCCTCGGGGTTCAATGGAGTCCCTTGCTCTTTCCAATGCAACAGGTAAGATGCCGTGTGTAATAAACTACTAGAGTACGGTTTATACTAGCCCTGTAGTTAGTGAAAGAGAAGGGAACCTTTCTACTCTTGTGTCAGGCGAAATTATTATTTTCTCACATTGCATAAATATATTTTTATCTTTAGGTGCCAGAGAACAATAGCTTAATTTGAAAGAATGGTTCTTCAAACAGGGAACATAGGTTTGTGGCAAACTAACATGATCCCACAGTCAAGGAGTATAGCAGCTGATTTCTCTTATCCTCTGTGAAGAAGAAAGGGAGGGTGTAGATTCAGCACAGTGAGGAGCACCAGAAGGTTCAGTCAAGCAGGGTAGAAATGCGGGCAAAGCTTTGTGGAAGAGAAGGGTCTTGCTTAAAGTCACAGAGACCGGGTGGGCCAATCTAGCAGACTGGATCAGGCCCACGTACCAATAGTTCTTCCTCTCCTTAGGATCTTGGTGCAGAATAATTGAATGAGATCATTACACTGCTTCAAAGAAATGCAGTTTGCCTCTCTCTCTCTCTCTCTCTCTCTCTCTCTCTCTCTCTCTCGTCCAATCCCCATTCAGCCACTTTGACAGAGATGTGCATAACTGTGGTGCATTAACCACATGCTTAGATGCAGTAATAATAGCCATAGCTTTGATGTTTGTACAGCAGCACCTGCCATTAGGCATATTGGAACAGTTGTCCTGGGCAGCAGATTTTGGATGACCTCAGGCAGCAAATATTTATTCTGATACTTATTATTATTGTCAGGGACAGGAAGGCCTGCAGTGTCATTTTGTGCCTCAGACAACAAAGTAAGTTTGGGTGGTTTGGGGTGCCTTGCATGTGGGGGACAGTGTCCATTTGCTGCTTAACCTGTGCAGCAAAAGGTCTTACCTCATTTTTGATCAGGTGAAGTGCAATAAAGAAGAGAAGAATCCATCCTCTGCATGTTAATAAATTCAGAAGGAGGAGAAAAATATTGGATCTTTGAGCAATCCTCAGTGAACGGGATTGATACTTGGTGTGATGTGAGCTTTCCTAGACTGACATAGGCAGCTGGTAAGGGAATTGGAGGTCTGTGCAACTGTCTGCTTTTGCACACTTTTTGATCACATTGAATCAAACTTGTGTGGGCTTTGAAGTGAGTTGTGGTCTCATGCAGTTCCTCTCCTTGGCTTTTCTTTCATGAATACAGACTTTGCTTGGCAACTTTCATGAGGTTCAAAAAGTAGTAAGAGATGTCTCGGTCTACCGAGAGGTTACAACTCAAAACAAACATGACAGAAGAGAAAACCATGTGATAACAGTTGCAAGGAATGAAGAGGAGCCAATTTACACTTAAAATTAGAAGTAAGGATTAAGGGGTGAAGTTAGTCTTCCCCAACCTGATACTCTGTAGATTGTTGGACTGTAACTTCTGTCTAGCCAACATGGGCATCAGATTGTGCATGTCAAAGAAGAAATGCATTTGTTTGTATTCCTTTAAAACAGGATAAAAAAGGATCAGCAAAAAAGTTCCAAATGCAAACTTTAAAAGAACTAATCTCTCCAATAAAACCGTTTCAGTCCTTTTTAAAAAATTATAGATCCTGCCTGAGGAGGAATAAGAATAACATTCTGTGTTTTGCTTTTAAGTGATACAGTATATATAGATATGTATCTTAAAATTGGCATTGTCAGTTTGAAAGCTAAGAGATAAATGACGCACCATTTAAGATAGCGTGTTGGAGGAAGGGAAGTAGTTTGGGGCTGTGAAATTAATCTTTTGAAATGGCAATTTCACAGAAGGGAAGTGGGTGATGGAGTAGACCAATGAAAGAGCTGCCTTAGATTTGGCTTATTTGTCGTGCCAGCATCTGGTGCTTTTATTCCTTCTCCTGAAGGAGATGGCATATCTGAGCTTTTTTCTCCAAGTTAGATGAATCCAATGGCAGCACAGCCATGATAATCAGCTATATAACTGTCCAGAAATTGCTGTCATAACTCAGCAGCTGTCACAGTGAATACAATAGTTCCTTAGCTGGTTCTTTTTCTTTACCTGATAACACACACACACACACACACAAACGCATGCACAGAGTTGCTCCTAAAAGAGCAGTCATTGTAACAGGAAGAGGAAGACATACTTCAGAGACTGCAGGTAATATTATTAGAAGAGGAGAAACCACTACTATCTGATCAGAAGTACATTATTTGAACTCAAGGTGGCTGACTTTTCAGGATTCCTGGCAGTTGAGGGGCTAGGATTTTTGCTGAATTTGGGATTTGGGATGAATTGATTCACATGCTGGCAAAGAGGGGACCATTGATTTACATATATGAAAACTAATCTTTGCTATCCCATCCATAGCTACAGGGAAGCAGTGCTTATTTCTGAGTTTATCATCAAAATATACATGTTTCATTATTAGGACTGCAAGTTCTCCTAGTGGCTCATAATCCTAAAAGAACGTTAAAGTGCATAGCCAGGAGTCTGTAGTTCACAGCTGAATAGTGAAGCAAGTTCTAAGAACTCTTGAGGACCAGTGGGTTTGCAACTGATTCAGCAATTACCCCAAAATAATGCTCCTAAAATGTTCTGCATTGTCTCAGAGGGACGTATTGAGTGGTGTTCCTGAGTGTTTTTCTGTAGTTCAGTGCTATTCAACATCATTATGAAACACAGGATGGAATAGAAGAGAAGGAATGCTTATCATATTTTCAGGCTAGGATACTAGAGGGGAAATCCAACTTGGCAACAATGCATATAAGAAGGAGATAAGAATACTAAGAAACACTCACATGAACATGACCAAGCAGAAGCTTCAGTTATTATAGTTATTTTGGGGCAAGTTAGACCTACCGCAGGCGCAGTACATTTATTACAGGTAGACACATAACAGTTCAAATTATCCAGGTCACTCTTTTGGTTTTTTATTTGTATATCCCTTTTAATTATTATGACATCAGCCATTTATATTTATATATCCAGCGTAGCATTTGTATATCCACATTTGTATATCCAGTTTAGCAACTTTTTCCATATCATTCTTGTAGCCTGTCATTTTTAAATCCACTTTCAAATCAGTCTCAGCCTTGTTTGGTAAAACTTGTTTCTCCTCCATAACTTCTTTTAAGGACAGTCTATCTGTAGAGGCAGACACTCTTAAAATTAACTTCTGGGTCCATTGTTCACAAATATCCTTCAATACATCCAA